AATATGGGCCCCCAAATTATCGAGCTGGCTACGCCACTGCATGTATTACCTGACAAAAGAGGAGACAAAGGACTTCTTGTTCTTCCTATGGTACATTTTTTCTATGCGTGGTTGCACTTGGAACAAGTCTTACAACATTTAATGCTCTATCAAGTTCCGGTCTTATCTCAATCTTACCTTGGTTCTCAAACAAATCAGCTGTGACATTGTCAATTATACTGCATGGGTTGTACTCTACTTCTAACGCTGGCAGCTACCGTTGTTGATGTATTCAGTGGCGTAGCCATGCAGCTCGATAATTTTGGGGGCCCATATTCATATATTCGTGTTCACAGACCTTAAAAAACAATCGATTTCAAAAGAAATTAACTGTGCAGAACACGAATATATGAATATGGGCCCCCAAATTATCGAGCTGGCTACGCCACTGCATGTATTACCTGACAAAAGAGGAGACAAAGGACTTCTTGTTCTTCCTATGGTACATTTGTCTACATTGCCACTCTATTGATGATGAATGGTTTTGTATCTCTTGACAAAGCCAAAGAGGAGGATACTGCACTGGACAGACCTTCAGAAACTACAGCCAGGGGAAGACAAGGAGCAAGACGATTCAACTATACTGCGGCGTAACCTCAAAAATTAATAAAGTTCAGTCAGTGCAATCTTTACCATCTTCATGCTGATGAAATGTTAGTCAAAGATGAACAATAATGTAAACAGAACCAAAACTGCGAGGAAATGAAAAAATATTTTACAAAAAAGGATGGTTTTTATTAATGTACATGCATGCATGACTAACCTATCCCTGTTTGCATGGTGGGTTTCACTGAGACAGTATACGGCACATGATGATGGTCAACTGCCTTGGTGTCATTCCCTTTCACGAGTGTGAATACATTTGACTACCATCCATGTGTACCATGATACAAAACAGTTCATGAAACCTAACCTGTAGATATAGTCACGGAGATATGTAGACGTGTTGAGCTTTATTCATCCCCTTATTATTGGACATATTGGGAGAATTAAGCAGTGAAGCGACTAATCTCTAGTGTAGAGAAGTTCAGAAATAAGTATTTCATTAGTTGAACTGATTAACTTAGAATTTTTTTTGTAGAAATTGAGTAGCGGTAAATATAAAATTGCTTTCATTCTGCATAATTTTAACCTGGTTTTCAACGAATATAAGTAGCTTTTTTGCATATGACGAATACCTGACCTTTTTTTATGAAATGCTAAACAGTATGTCGAATAGTAGGCCAACGTGCAATTAATAAATAAGGAGGGTTGAGGAGAAATATTTTAACGAGAGGTGCGGTTACGAAGTTCGAAAAATTCAAATTTTGACGGTTTGGTTCCTCAGCAGATCGACTTACGAGTTCGGAGAAACTGTACTTTTGTTTACCTTATGTTGTTCTAATTCTTCAAGGAAAAGCGAGGGAAAGGATTTTACAAGTTGGGAAGATTGAATAAGCATAGATATGTATAGCCATGGCTTTAGAATCAGTGCGTTTTTATAGGCATTTTTTTTTACAATATTTTACAATATACAAAGTATATCCAGCCGGCAAAACGACGTCGAAACAATGTCGAAACGACGTCAGAGGATGACGTCGAATCGACGTCGAAAAAGGGTTGAAAACGCAAACGGAATCGACGTTGAGAAATCAACGTCGTTTCAACGTCGGAAATCGACGTCGTTTCAACGTCTAGAAATCGACGTCATTTCAACGTCCAGAATCGACGTCGTTTCAACGTCTAGATATCGACGTCGTTTCAACGTCTAGAAATCGACGTCGTTTCAACGCCTATGAATCGACGTCCTTTCAACGTCTATGAATAAACGTCGTTTCAACGTCTGGAAATCCATTTCGTATCCATGTTGCATTTTCGACGTCGTACCGATGTTTAAAAGCAGGTGAAAATCGACATGCATGTTTCTACGTCAATTCGACTCAAACCCAACGCGTCTTGGCTTCGGCTTTCCCTAGCAAAAGAACACTCGCCGGACGTTTTTTTTCAAAATATTTATTCAATTAACATATACATTGATATACCCAAAAATATTTAACATAAATATAGTTCATATAAATGCTACCGATCTGTTCTTGCCTTGTGTTTCTCTTGTTTTTCACCATGCACCTTTCCTATCTGTTTTATCACCATGCCCATCCATGTTTAGGGTTGACATAAACTCGCTGGTCATTAATCTAAAGAATAAGAAAATTCGTAAAAATACATGCAGAGAAATAATAAGCATTCAGACACCGAATTTAAGTAGTGATCCTAAACCAACTTTGTCTTGTGATCATAGATAGGCCTATTACCGTATATTCGCAGTGGGTTTTCATTGTTTGGTTTCCCGACCGTGCCTAGCTGTTGGCTACTGAAATCACCAACCCATCTGACGTTTGCAGACCTAGGAGCAATTTTTCGTACCGAGTTCATGGCGTTAGTTTCATACTAGTTATGTAGAGTATAACCGATTTGTTTCAAAGTTGATTTAATAATGAATGTTTGTGCCGTGTACCGCTGTAATTGAAGAAAAATATCACTCTCAAGCATGAACGTTTCTAAAAAAATTAACCCTACCTACGTTTTTGCTACGAGGGACAGAAAACCCAGGTTCAAATAACAGGCTCCAGAATTGTCATACTGTAAACTGGTAAAACTGTAACTACCTGCTCATTACGTTGCGGACAATGTCTTTGATATTGGATCCACCTATCTTCTCATCTCAAAGAAGAGCCTGCAACAATCTCAAGGAAATCACCACCCACTAATTACTATAATTTATTTCCAATCCAACTAATCATATTCCCTGAAATTTGTGTGCGGGATGCAGTATAAGTAATATTAAGGATTATACTTTTAATATTACTGTTGTTGTTCCTTACTCTGCATGTGATTGTAGTTGATCATAGCTAGATTACAGTAGTTCAAAAATTCAAATTTTTCAAAAATTGCATGGCAGTTTAAATAACGTTTGGAGTAAATAAAACAGAACTTACACTGGCAACGTCGGTTTGGTTACTAATACTTTGGTGGTACATTAGTATAATACAATTCACTAGAACATAACATACTCGCAACACTGAGTCACTGACATGCACTGTCTATTTATATGTCTAACTAGTAGACTCAAAAAGCAATCATTCGAGCAATAATTTACATATTAATACTGAACGGGAACTCAAAAAAATTTATGTCAAAAGGAAGACAATACCATCTTTATATGTCTAAACATTACAGTAATATTCAAAAACAAACACAATATGACCAGCTATGAGCAAATATACAGTATGTTTCAAAATTGCAACGGCTGAAAACAAACGTTTACAAATTTTACAATAACAAATTTTCTGTGTTGGTGTTATGTACTCAGGTGAATATGATGTTTGTGATGTTACCCTGAGTGTATATCATAGAAATAATAGATATCTATTATTTCAAAGGTGTACATCCACATCAGGCAGACTTGAAAATATGCCTGGCCACGGTAGGAATCAAACCTATGATCTTTGAAATACTAGCCCAATGCTCTGCCAACTGAGCTATGCGATATTTCGGAACTGAGACTAGTTCCTTCGATATCAAAGTAATCCACTCTGAATCATGATTTTATGTGTTGGTGTTATGTACTCACGTGAATATGATGTTTGTTATGTTACCCTGAGTGTATATCCACATCAGGAAGACTTGAAGAATATGCCTGGCCACGATAGGAATCAAACCTATGGATGACCTTTGAAATACTAGCCCAATGCTCTGCCAACTGAGCTATGCGGTCAGGTTGGTAGTCGAATATGTGATATTTTGGAACTGAGTCTATAG